AATTTTTAGGACTGGTTTTTGTTACCATTTGTATTACTTTTATTTATTTTTAAAAACTAAGATGGTATTGTCTATTTTATTTGAAAGATTTTTTTTATTTGTTTGTTTTAATTATTTGTTTTTATTTGACAGAGAGGGAGATATGGAAAAGAAAGAGAGCTTTCATTCACTATTCACTCCCAAATGCCCACAACAGCCAGAGACAGGCCAGCCCAAAGCCAGGATCGAAGAACTCCATCCAGATCTTCTGTGTGGGTGACAGGAATCCAAGCATGTAGGCCATCATCTGTGGTACCCCAGGAGCATTATCAGGAAGCAGAACAGTGGAGACTCAAACCAGCACTCCAGTACTGTAATTATTTTAATAAAAAAATTTAATTACTTTTATTGGAAAAGTAGAAAAACAGAAAGAGAGAGAGAAAACAATCTTCCATCCAGTAATTCATTCCCTAAATGTCCCCACAATAGCCAAGGCTGGGCCAGACTGTAGCCTGGAGCCAGGAACTCCATCCAGATCTCCTGCTGGGGTGATGGGAACCCAAACCATTAGACAATCATCTGCTTCCTTTTCAAATGCATTACCAGGAAGCTGGATTAGAAGCCAGTGAGTAGGGCTCCATTCCTGCACTCTGATAGGGGATGCAGGCATCCGAAGCAGTGGCTTAACTTGCTGAGCCACAACACCCACTCCACTGTAGTCATTTTAATTCTGTATACTTTAAGTTTTTCCAGTTATTCCTATATACAACAAGTCACTTTGCAGCTCGTAAACAACTCATCCATGAGATTAGGCAAAGGTATGTTGCTCATTCTTCTAGTAAAGAAATTGAGACCTGCAAAGATTCACATGTGTTACTCATGATTAGTTGGCTAATTATGGACTGAGCTGTGAATCCAAGTTCTCTTACTACTTTCCCATTGCTTATTTTTCATTCATGCAACAAACACTCTTGTTTATTGAGCATTTACTTCATACCTGCTTTTGTGCCAAGTTGCTGGTACACTAAGATTTGCCCAGTCCTTGTAAAGCATTATCTCATGGAGTTGAATCTGTCATGAGCAACTTCATGGTACAGCCTCATTCCTTGTATCTAATTAGGTTACTAAGGTTCCCTAGACTATTTTTTATGAAACTATTTGTGTCAGCTTATTTCCAAGCTCAAAGCTTTTATGTTTCCTGTGCTTTCAATGATTTTTTTAAAAAAATTATTTATTTGATAGGGAAAGAGAAAGAGAGGCAGAGACAGAGAGAAATTCCATCTGCTGATTCTCTCCCCCAATGCCCACGACAGCTGTACCAGGCCAAAGCCAGGAGCCAGGGATTCCATCTAGAGATCACTCACATGGGTGGCAGGAACCCAGGTACATAGGGCATTGTCTTTTACCACAGTGATATTTATGAGAGACATAGGAATGCTACACCTCTATTTTGAGACTTGGAGGAAGTCCCTTATTTATTTGTCCATGCATGTGCTAGACAAGCATGATGATTTCTAAATCTTAGAAAGAAGACCAGGAATGGGGCATTTTTGTACTAGTCCTTGACCCTCCAAGACATTGCAAGAGTAATTAAATATATTCAGGGATACATCTGTGCGTTCTCTATTCCTGGGGCAGTCGATCAAGCTTGGAATAAAGGTTTATTGATTTAATTAATGTACCAGCACACTCTCCTTATATTATCATGGGTATTGAATAATTTATGTAGGCTTGTATGTCACTGTATCTTGAATAAGGTATAACAAGTAGTTGAAATGTGATTTGTAGCAGACTTATTTTTAACCCTGACTACCCTCTGAAGTAGGAATAATGTATCAATTACCTAAAGATGAACAACTTCTAATAAAGTTAAGTGACCTTTTGTAGGATACAAGACTGACGAACCCATCTCCTTGACTCAATGCAATGTTGCATGTGCTCTGAACAAAGTGTGTTTATGGCACGAAGTGCACAGACATTGATAATACTCATATCTAGATCTATAGAGTGTTCCAACTACAGATTAAGCAAGATATTGTTTTTCCCTGACCTCAAGTTCACACCATTAGAGCATCACTTTTGGACTTGTTATTAGTTCCCATTCCAGGAATCGTTCCATTCAGCATCACCCACCTCCACTCTCTTTCCCAATGTGAGGAACACTGAGGCCTTGTGCATCAGTGCATTTCTGAAGCAGGTATGTATAAATGAATGGTAGATCAAGTCCTGTGTTGAATTTGCACTAACAAACAGAGCTGGGAAGTCTTGGAGAAATTCATAATCATTTCCTCATTTATATATATATATATATATATAAATTCTTCAAAAGATTCATAGAAAATTGAATTAAGAGATAAATTTATTTTGTTGCAAAAAAATTTTAAATCGATACGTAGTTTTTTTCATAATATACATTTTCCAAGAAACTTTTGGAGTACTGCTGTATTTTATGAAATCCTCTGAAGGAATTCATTCATTCAATTTGGTCGATCAAGCCTGCCTTAGGAAGAAAATTAATATTTTTAAATTAAATCACTTACTTTTTTGTTTTAAGTAAGCAAAAGTAAATATGACTGTGAGTATAGCTATATAACCTGAAAAACATCTACTGTAGTTATAAATGCCATCCTATTTCTCTAAGTTTCTCAAGAGTAAGATTAGGCTTTCACATCAAGTAATAAAGTTAATTATGAAACTGATAAAGTTGATTTCCTCTGTATTGATTTCCTCTGTGTTTGGGAGGCTGAACAGCCAAAGACATCCAGTTTCATATAAGTCTCTTGCCATGGCCAAATATCTTTTTAGTTGTTCAGGAGGAAATAATGTTTATAAAGAAATAGCTATTTTCAAAGTATTCTTGTATTTCTAATTTCAGCAATTAAATGAAGCAGCTTAAAAAAATATTTTAAATATCTGTTAAACCAAAGACCAGAGCTCCTGAACTCCCTAGTCATCCTCATGAATGCATCTAGATAATGGAGTTAGTAACAATATCAAGTGATGTGGATTGAAATTCAGCTAATGGTAACAGCCACAGTTCCACTCGTGTAGTGATGGTATTCAAGACTTTCCAAAATGTGCCAGGTGTTTGGAAAGCACACCACATGATCAATAGGTATATTAAGCATGTAAAAGAAAGGAAAAAATGGTGATTGAAGTTGAGTGTTTGAGGACCAATGTAGACTAGTTAGGTCTCTAAGAGCATAACAGAGGTGAATGGGTGGAAACTGTAAGGAAACATTGTCCTATGTCGCTCCCCCTCTTCGTGGAGGAACGACACAGATATTGTGGGAGAGCAGATGCATAGAATAAGTCTTAATTCCAGTAACTCAGTCTAGTCCGGGCTGCTCCCCACAGATCCCCCTTTCTTTTTATTTTTTGGCGTTGATACGCGCCTGTCTTCGGTGTCCCGCGGCACACACTCTGCTCTACTTGCTAGAGTTGCCACAGGCTCTTACAAGTCCTATCAATCAGGCAAACCAAATCCGGGTCCTCTCTTCGCCATGTTGTGAGGAGGTTTTTAGGCGCTGATGCGTGCCTGTGTTCGGTGCCCTGCAGCGCATGCTCTGGTCGAGCCTGCAGGGGCTTACAAGCCCTATCAAGCAAACCGAATCCAAGCCTTCTCATTGCCTTTTTGTGGGGAGGCCTTACTGATGTTAATTCGTGCCTGTCTTCGGTGACCTGCGGCGCATAAGCTGCTAGCCGCCGCAGGTGCTCATCGTGCTCATCGCCTCACTTAATCAGGCAGACCGAATCCAAGCTCTCACATTGCAGTGTTGTAGGGAGGCCTTTCTATTTCTCTATTTCTCTATCTCCGGGCATTCCTATTTCTCCCATTTTACTTCTATCTTCCAGCATTCCCATTTCTCTCACTTTACTTCTAAACTTCTGTTTCTCTTATCCCCGCGGCTTCCCGGCTGCGCCTGCCCCGAGGCTGCTTCTCGGCAGCTTTCCGGCTCTGAGCCGCTTCAGCCCGCGCCTCTCTCATCTGCGCAGCTTCCCGGCTTTGCGCGGCTTGGCTTCGCGCGCTCCGCGGTCTCCACGCCCTTCGCGTCTGCACCACGGCCTCGCGCCAGCCCCGTTCCCTATCTATTCACGCCCCGTGCTCTCTCTGCACGCGGCGGCTTCCGCGAGTAACACAGCGTAGCTTACGTGTCCGCCACTAGCATTCAATCTAAGTTCCCCGGGCTAGCCTGGCGAATTCAACCCAGCATACGTCTCCGCCCCACGATTTGGCTTCCCGTCCTTTGCTCCCCGGGCTAATCAGACGGATCCCAATCTGGCTTACGTTTCAGCTTCTGGTTTCAACTTTTCGCCCCCTATTCCCGGGCTAACTTGAGAACCCCAAAGTGGCTTTCGTGTCCGCCTTGGCCTGCCCCCCACGGCTTCAATTTCCCTAACATTTTTCTCTACCCGGTATGTTTCCCCAAACTTTCCTCCAACAATATTCCTCCCTCATTTCTCCTGGCCTCTCCCCACAGTCCGTATCCGAGTCTGTTTGTTCTAGCTTTCACTTTCGCTTTCGACCTTAGAGATTTCTCCCAGCTTCCCCCGTAGTCCGTATCTGAATCTATGCCTAGGCTTTCAACAGCTTCCTCCGGCACCTTTTTCGTCCGGCTTTTCCCTAGGCTGTTTGCTAGTCTCTCTCTCCGGTATTTTTCCCAGTTCTTCCCGTTCTTTCCCTCCTAGGTTTCCTATCCGTCCTAGGTTTCCTATCCGAGCTAGGTTTCCTATCCGAGTCATTTCTTCCCTCCTAAGTTTCCTATCCGAGTCATGGCACCATTATGTCGCTCCCCCTCTTCGTGGAGGAACGACACAGATATTGTGGGAGAGCAGATGCATAGAATAAGTCTTAATTCCAGTAACTCAGTCTAGTCCGGGCTGCTCCCCACAGTCCTATGCATGTAGAAGAAAGGACTTTGAAATGATTGACACTGGTGAAAATGATGAATGCAAGACAATGTGAAGTGTATCAGCTATGTTCCAAGTCCAGCTCATAATCTCAAGTTCTTCTCATTCAGGAGCACAGCACCATGCAGAAGTTACACTGCACCCAAGTGGACAAGATCGTGGCGCAGTATGACAAAGAGAAGTCGACTCATGAGAAGATCCTAGAGAAAGCCATGAAGAAAAAGGGGTAATACTGTTTATTTCCTTGTGGAGGCTTTCTCCCTTTTTATGTTTTGTCTTCCCACAATTCAGTTGTTCATGTAGCCTAAGGATGAACTTAGAGTTGTCTCAGTTTTCACTCTTAAAAATTATTCTTAGAAAACAAGAGACTCATTCATGGTTTTAAAGATTTATTTGAAAATCAGTATTATACAGCAAGATGGAGAGACAGACAGAAATCTTCCATCTGCTTCCCTCTGCTTCCATCTGCTCCCAGCTGAAGCCAAGAGCCAGGAGCTTCATTTGGGTCTCCCATGTGGGTGGCAGGGTCCCAAACACTTAGTCATCTCCTGCTGCTTTTCTTGGTCATTAGCGGGGAGTCAGATTGTAAGTGGAGCAGCCTGAACTCAATCCAGTGCCCATATGGGATGCTGGCATTGCAGGTGGTAGCTTTATCCACTGTGCCACAATGCAGGTCCCAAGACTCATTTTAAACACCAATGTTGTAACAGGTCATGGTCTCAGTCAACTTAGTTAGGATTTAGGGAAGGTCCTCAGCGAAGGTCCTGCCATCTTTTAATTCATTGTAACTAGTTCTGATGTGAAAAAGAAATCTTACTCACAAATAATTGAAAAAAATACTTCCTTGTGGAAGATTTTTATGTAGAATTAAGCCACTGAAATATTTCAGCATTGCTACAAGCTCAGTGAGAGCAGGGAAGAAAATATTCAGTGCCAGGCACTGACAAGGAATAGATGTGATGAGAGCCCTTGCATTTTTAGAGCAATGCTTCTTCTCAAGCAACTCTTCAATAACATAACGAAGCGTTCTGATTTGGGCTTTAATAAACCAGAGCATGCATGAAGACAGAAGCTCATGACCTGCTCTTGTTTCAGCAACAATATGGATATTCCAAAAGGAAAACATAATCAGGAAATAAGCAGTAATGGCTGCTGGGCAGTTGCCTAGTGTATATTTCCTACTCGTGATAGAATAAGAAGCAAAATTACCCTGTGATGCCAAGAAATGCTATTTTCTCCCTCACTGGCATGTTTGAAAGACAAAAATCTGGCTTTAAAACCGAAAGGAAAGAATTAAAAATTAATTTCAAAGCTGAGGCCCTGTTTTCCACTTTTTCATCCCAAATAATATTTTCTTGAATAACTGAAAAATGGCTGGAAGAAAAAGATGAACCAAAATGGAAACTCTGTCAACAGACCCTTAACAATGGAATAATTGTTAGGTCTAAAGCATTTCTTTGTGGAGTAGTTGAATTGAGTAATCATGATACAGATAATATTTTGAAAGGTATGAATCTATTACCAGAAATACTGATGTTGCCCAATGAGCCATGGCATCTCATATTTGATGAAGATATTGTCTTCATCAGAAAGCTTTGTAACAAAGGAATGGGGGAGATTTATAATTTCTGGCATTCATTTGCAGTTTTCTATTTTCAGGGGAAGTAATTGTCTTGAAATGAAAAAAGAAACAGAAATTAAAATTCAGACACTGACATCAGATCACAAATCTAAGGTAAGAAAGTGTCCATTTTAATAGCAGTGCCTTGCAGAAGATGCTTCATAATTTTTTTTAGAAGGAGTTTCTAGTAAAATCAGAAATCACAAGTCTTGGGCAGTTGAGCGATCCTGTGGTTTGTGAATTCCCAAAACTCATTAGTTTTGAGAAGAGCCACTTAAGGGAACATCTGTTTTTGTCTTGTCTTTAGAAATATGCTAACAGTATTTATGATGTCTAACTCTTAGGCAGGATAGGGTACCCCCAGTCTGCCAAGGGCCATTTGGATACTTATAACATCATTTACAGGCCATACAAAATAATGAACTTAAAATTTAGCCTGCTACAGGTTTATTGAATTTAGAGCCCCACCTGTGGTTGCCTTTGCATGGCCAGACCAAATAATTTTGCATACCTTATTCAGCCCATGGGCCAGATGACCCTGTATTCCTGTTCTAAAGCATCAGATGAAGCAATACATGAAGAAAATAAAAAGAAGTACTGTATAAAATATAAAACATACTGCCCTATAAAATCTACAGCATATACTTCTCTATAAGTAACATTAGAGGTATTAGGAGTTGAGTCTTACTCTGTTCCAACTGCTATGGAAGTTTTGGATGAGAAAAAAATCAAGACTTGATTGCCTAAGAGATGAACGTAATTACTTGGATTTCCCCAAACACAGCAGAGAATAGGAGCTCAAGAAACCTTAATTAAATTTGTGGACATTTGGAGAATGGAGTGCCAAGTTCCACTCAAGAACACAAACAATTCTTCCAGCCATAATAGATTTTTTAAGGGGGGTGGGCAACACCTTTAAAGAAAGTTCCCATTGATAGCTTTGGTCAAATCAACCGGCCTCCATAGATCTATGTGCAGTTCTTCGTCCAAACCTATAGTTCTCATTATGCATGAACCAGACATGCTGTTCTGAAAGTCCTCTATGTTGCTGTGTATTTGTACAGCCTGAAGTCCATGGAAACCAAGCCATGTGTCTTGGGAAGTTGCTTCCCACTTTCTCATTCTCTTTTCTTTCCTGGAATGCTGAAGAATTAATGCTTGTGCCACATACCATTATTTTTAGATGCTTTGCCTAAATAGGAAAGAAGAAACTTTGGTAATGATGTCAGTTGGCTTTTGCTGCATAATAAACTCTGCCAAATTGTGCCTTTCAACAGCTTCTACTTACTAGCCCACAATTCAGTGGGTTAGAAATTTGGATTGTACTCTACCTGGAGGTTCATATTTTAGCTGGACTCACATGTCTCTGGTAGGCAGAAGTTGGGGGCCGGACTTGCACATCTGGTGTTTGGCTGCTGGTTGTTTTTTCCTCGGTGATCTCCCAAGTTTCAGCAAGCTAGCACAGGCTCAGACACAGGGCAGTCCCAAGATTTTAAGCATAGCAGAAGGGTAAGCATTTTCCCAACCTGTGCTTGCATTACATTTGCTGCTGTCTCATAGTCTAAAGCAGGTCACACAGTTAGCCAGATGAAAGGATATGGAGAAACAGATCTCAGCTTCTGACAAGAATAGCTAGCAAACCACATCACCAAGAGCGTGGATACCAGGAGGGGAGGAATTTCCACCCCGGTGTCTGTTAGGGTTGGTTTGGCAAGTCCTGGCCCAGGAACAAGAAACACATAGCTCTCTGTTCAAACTGTGACCAGTGAAGCTGGAGAAGCACGAGGTGAAGAGAATGCTGATCGACTTGGTCAAGGAGCTCAAGGCCCAGATAAGGCAGAATGTGATCAAGTTAGGGAGTGAAATATAAGTCACCATTCAGTATTTGGAGACAACGTGATTGAATTGTTTTTATAACCACTGGCTTTGTGATTCTTATTGATTAATACTTATTTTTTTAGGTTGTGGGTGTCTAGGTATTTACCAAGTAAATTGGTGAGAGGGATTTGAATGCATGAATCACATATCTGATGTACGAGGAGTCCACTTGGCATCACTTTTCCCCCAAACAGGTCAAAGAGATTGTGGCACAGCACACAAAGGAGTGGTCGGAAATGATCAACACCCACAGTGCAGAGGAGCAAGAAATCCGGGACCTGCACCTCAGCCAGCAGTGTGAGCTGTTGAAAAAGCTGCTAATCAACGCCCACGAGCAACAAACCCAGCAGCTGAAACTGTCCCACGACAGGTAGTAGAGCCATCCCTTTCTAGAGTACCCTCCCAATTTTTATGAAAGGTCAGTTGTGGTGTGCATTCATGTGTGTGTGTGTGTGTGTGTGTGTGTGTGTAAGGCTGTGAGTGAATCAACTTACCATATCAGTTACTCTTATATGTATATTCTTTGATGTGAACAAGGTGAACTCTAAGAAGTAGCCTCCGCCATCAGAGGACTTGCCAGTATTGGCAGGACATTACACGCACTTGAAAAGTCAAATGACAAGTGGTAGTAAGGAGTGTCACAGATACGAAGGGCTTCCATTCTGAAAGAGCTCTGTCTCCTTTGAGTGGTCATGGAAACTTCACACAATGGAAGAGCTGGACCTGGCCTTTGCAAAGTGACCTGGAGTCTCAGGAAGAGAAAACACTGGGAGACATAAAGACCAGACAGTAGAGCTCCCACAGTGATTCAGTTGTAATCATTCAATGGATAACTGTGGGCAGAGCCTTTTTCCCTGTCTCTTCATTGTTGGGACTTCAGTGAATTTTAGGAAGACCAGCCTGGTAAGAAACAGCAAAGAAGTATTGGTTTTCTCTGGACTCACCCCACTTCAGCAAAGTGAATGTTGCATTTGAAATACTGCAAATGAAGAGCTGGACTTTTCCCTGCACAGAAGAGAGATTTTGTTGATTAAGTCTTTTCATCACAGCTTTGTTGCACCTTGCTCACCTCCCACTTAGTGGCCACTATATGCCATAGTTAGGGTCTATCAGTGTACACAAAAGAGTATAAAATAGAAGCATTAGACAAGCAAATTCAACAAAAAAAAACTTAAAATCCCAGCTGCTTGAGGTATATAGTTTCATGCCCAAATTCCCAGCCTTATCTGGAATGATAGGTATTGCCACAGGAGCATTGTGTTTTTGCCTTGGTTTCTAATTCTCACTTGAGATAACTATATTAATCAGCTTTTTATTACTATAACAAAATACCTGAAGCAACTGATTATTTTTAAAAGGGGTTTATTTAGTGCACACTTTTGGAGGGGACAAGTCCGAGATTGGGCAGCACTTTTGGTATGGCCTCTCCTGAGGACAGAAGATGGAACTGGCAGAGGTAGAATCACATGGTGAACCAGGAAGCAAGAGAGAGAAGCTAAGCCCAACTCAGATTCCTGCTTTTAACAACCCTCTCCAGATAACGACCTTTCAAGGGCATATCCCATAGTGATCTAAGGACTTCCCATTAGACCCACTTCCTTAAGCCTCCACCACTGTCCAGTAGCATCAATCTGGGGACCAAGCTTTCAACACATAGGCCTTTGGGGGACATTCAGCATCCACGCTAATGTCCAAACCATCGCACCAACTGAAAGTTGTATACCTACCATGCAACATTTCTATGAAAATGTCCTACACTCCATGCATCTTATGTTGTTCAGTTGTATGTTATCAGTAACTGTCATCTTTTTTTGCTTAAAAATACTCTTGATTCCATACATAGAAAGATCCTGTCTTCATTCTGTCTTTGACCATTGCTACAGCACCAGGTTTTAAGTGTCTCCCCTTATCCAATAATACTTCATAGAATAAAGCAGTTTTCTGTCATTTTTATAGATGAAAAAATTAAAACAGTTGCTCACAATAATGGGTTTCATCTGAAGGAAAAAAAATCAAACTTTGCTTTGCTTAGGAAGTCATTTGAAGAAACCCTACATTGAGCATGGAAACACCTTAACAAATATATCAATGGCAGGTGCATCTTTTCAAAGCAAGAACAGTGTTTAAGCTTTTTTCCCTCAAACACCAGGTGATTCTGTTTTTCCACCATCACAGCTGCTGTTCTTGGTTACAAACCCTGGTTTTCTTACATTTGTCAGCAACATTTAGTCATTGACAAATGTTTGAGAAATGAATGAATTTTTAAAATGATCTATTTACTCACAAGGTAGAGAAAATTTGGGAGCAGCTTTTTTTTCCCCTTTGTTTAGGTCCAGAATCTCTATGCATATTACTGCTGCTGAGGTTCTGAAGAACTTCCCACTCCAGTATTATCTATTCCTTTTGATGCATAGCAAATAACATCACTTAGGTTGCCTGACTCTTTGTTTACCCACTTATAGTCAGTGCTTTAAGGAGATCTCAATAGGTTTCAGAGTAATTTTTGTTAATCGTACTCATTTTAGTATTGTAAATTTTATCCCTTTAATGTTCACATAAGTAATCTAAAGATAGGAATGTTTGTCATGCACATGTGTGCATGCACACACAGGGATTAGTTACATGCAAACATCCTTTTTTTGCTGCTGGTGCTTCTTTGAAACATTTAGTGCCTTTCATTACCGCCGGCAGCCAGAAACAGGAAGATCACTTGTAAAAGTTAGAACATCTATCTCCCAGCCCATCTGGTACCAAATAACATGGAGCAAAGATGGAAATCTTTGTACAAGGATACTTCAAAAAAGTCATGGAAAATACAAGTAAAAATTTATGTTGATGTGGAAAATTTTTCAAATCTGTAGTATTTTTAAAAAGATTTATTTATTGGGGCTGGCGCCGAAGCTCACTAGGCTAATCCTCTGCCTGTAGCGCCAGCACCCTGGGTTCTAGTCCTGGTCGGGGCGCCAGATTCTGTCCCAGTTGTTCCTCTTCCACTCCAGCTCTCTGCTGTGGCCCAAGAAGGCAGTGGAGGATGGCCCAAGTGCTTGGGCCCTGCACCCACATGGGAGACCAGGAAGGAAGCTCCTGGCTCCTGCCATCAGATCAGCGCGGTGCGCTGGCCGCAGCGCGCTGGCTGCAGCGCGCTGGCCGCTGCGGCCATTGGAGGGTGAACCAACGGCAAAAGAAGACTTTTCTCTCTGTCTCTCTCTCTCTCTCACTGTCCACTCTGCCTGTTAAAAAATAAATAAAATAAAATAAATTTATTTATTTTGCTTGAAATTCAGAGCTACAGAGAGGCAGAGGCAGAGAGAGAGAGAGAGAAAGAGAGAGAGGGAGAGAGAGGTCTTCCATCTACTAGTTCACTCCCCAAATGGCCTCAACGGACAGAGCTGGGCTGATCTGAAGCCAGGAGCCAGGAGTCTCTTCCAGTTCTCCCACGCGGGTGCAGGAGCCCATGGGCTCGGGCCATCTTCCACTGCTTTCTCAGGCCATAGCAGAGAGCCCAATCAGAAGTGGCCATATGGGATGCCAGCAGTGCAGGTGGCAGCCTCACCTGCTACGTCACAGTACTGCCCCTTCCCCAGTTTTTTTTCATGAACTTGTTGAAGATTCCATATGTGTATATATAGATTTCAAAAAAATTTTGCACCAAACTAATTTTTAATTCCATTTTCCACAAACTTTCTGAAGTACCCTGGTATTTTCTCTTCTTAATAGATCATCATTGTTACTTCACCACTAGGTGGCACACTGCCCCTCAGGGAACAGCATCCACATGTGTGTGGGTTGTTCCTTTTTCCAAAACATAAAATAACTTGGTGAGCTCAACAATGAAAATAAAAATGAACCTAGTGCTATAGTTACAAACTGAATTTGTTCTGTTTTCCCATCTCTTTAAATTATGGTTAAATATACATAAAGTAAATTTACCGTTGTACCATGTTTAAGTGTGCGACATTAAGTATACTCACATCGTTGTATACCTTCCACCATCATCTGTTTCCAGAACTTTTCCAAATTTTCCAATTGAAACTTTGTTCCAATTAAACACTAACTCTCCATACTCCCTCTCCCAATTTGTTTCTTTTCAATGTATAGGGAAAGCAAGGAAATGCGAGCTCACCAGGCCAAGATTTCTATGGAAAATAGCAAAGCCATCAGCCAGGATAAATCAATCAAGAATAAAGCAGAACGAGAAAGGTAAGTCTGTGAACATTCAAAGGGGAAATATGGCATTGACTTAAAGACATAGTCCCAGCAAGGTTTAGGTGTGCTGAACACATGTATATCTGAGATATAAAACACCTGTGGTTTTGTGTAGGTGTTCTGCTGTTGTACCTGCTATAAAGTTTTATTTTCATTGCTGCAGAATAGTAGTCTCCAGTTTTTTGATTGTTTACTACCACCGGTAAAATAAATTTACACTCAATATATGTGCTTATTTTCAAACAGAATTATATAAAATATGACATAAAAATCAATATAATTCAAAATGTCATTCCTACATTCCAGTGGGGTTCACCCTGCAAGCATCTCACATGTGTAGTTATCTGCTCATTCTGGATGGGACAATTCAGATTAGCAGGAGGGTGATCCTCTGCCCTTGATTTGCCTCCAGCAGTCTTGATAAATGGGAACATCTTAAAACCCTCCCCTTTAGCCACAGCTGGTAAAGGAGATCTAAGGCAGCATCAATAGTCATGGTACAGGGCTGGCATGGTGGTGTAATAGGTAAAAGCCTCCCCTTGCAATGTCAGCATCCCATTTGGAAACCAGTTCCTGTACCAGATGCTCCACTTCTGATCCTGCTCTCTACTAATGGCCTGGAAAATTAGCAGAAGACGGTCCAAGTGCCTGGGCCTCTGCTACCCACAATGGAGACTTGGATGAAGCTTCTGGCCATGTGGGAAGTGGACCAGTCGATAGAAGATCTCTCTCTCCCTTTGTCTCTCCCTCTCTCTACAACTTGACTTTCCAATAAATAAATCTTTTTTAAAAAAAGTCATATCCAGTACTGCACTTGATTCCCACTGATCACAAATGGCACCTTCTTCTGTGCTGTTCATCATCCATGTCAGTATCCTGATGCTGTCAGCTCCGGGCTGGGTTAGCACACCAGTAGTCAGGCACAGCCAGCTTCCTTCTCTTGGAGGAGTAACACCTGACAAGATGGTGGCTCTTAGGCTGAAGTCTATGTCCTGCAGAAAGATTGTATTTTATGCCTCACAAAATGCAGCACAAAGTGAAGATCAGCTCTTAGGGTTACAACCTGAATGTGAAGTTTCAGGCTTCGAGTAACTCGTCTCTCCCCCAGCCACAGGCCAAGTATTAGAGGACAAAGTAGAGCGTGCATGTTTTAGCTCCCCTGCTCCTTGGCCTTTCGCTTGTTAAATACCTGGAATTTCCTCCTTGTGTTGAACATGACAGGACACCTGTCCAGCTACCTGGATGTTGAGTTTTACAATACATTTCAATTATTTAGCATGATAAGTAATGGTGAACTTGCAATCTGATAAAATAGACAGCATCATAGCATCTAGTACATTTTTTAATGCTGTGCTGTTGTTGGCTTAAATTCTATTTGTAAATATGGGCCACCAAGGGGATATGGAATTCCATAGTTATTTTGACCTGAAAATGAACCACCATTTCAGCCCTTGGGCAAGAACACTTCCCAGTCAACATGGAGAGTTATTTGTGCCTCACAATAAGGAAACTCTGTGGAGATCATTAATCATTTTGATTAATGCTTATTTGCACCATGATAGTATAGTATCTCTCAGGTTCTAGTTTATTTCTATTTTAAAAAATGCTATTCTCTGTATATTATTTTCAGATAAGAAGTTTGTTTAAGGGCCTTCTATACATAGAAATGACATTGTCTTCTTGAGCTCAAAAACTTGAAATATTTCAGCCATGATAAAACCTCATTAACTTGAACAATTTTACACTGCCCAAGGTGAAGTACAGAATTCAACATGATAAATGTGCTAATTATTAAGACCTCTTTACCACCTTTTCCAAATATCTTGCAAAGTAGACTTCAGCTCACTTGAGGTTAAATTATCTTCAGTTCTGAGTTACTGCTAACTTATCCAGCAAGGTGTTTTAAAATTTATTTTCCTTGTTTGACTTAATACTTGTTTATTTCAACTTTCTATTCAGTTATATAGGTGGTTCCAACACAACTACAAATAACTTTTTTTTTAAAGATTTTTTATTTATTTGACAGGTAGAGTTACAGACCGTGAGAGGGAGAGACAGAGAAAGGTCTTCCTTTCGTTGGTTCACCCCCAAAATGGCCGTTATGGCTGGAGCTACACTGATCCGAAGCCAGGAGCCAGGTGCTTCTTCCTGGTCTCTCACGTGGGTGCAGGCGCCCAAGCACTGGGGCCATCCTCCACTGCCTTCCCGGGCCACAGCAGAGAGCTGGACTGGAAGAGGAGCAACCGGGACTAGAACCCGGGGCCCATATGGGATTCCGGCGCCACAGGCGGAGGATTAGCCAAGTGAGCCATGGCGCCGGCCCCCAAATAACTTTTTTTTTTTTTAAAGAAACTATTTCTCTATGCCACCTGGTTAGTTGCCTTCTAAATTCACACATTGTATATTTGTGTGTATCCACTTACTAAAATGAGAAATAAAATTTAACATGTATCATTCCACTAAGAAAGATATGGAAACTTAAAAAGCATTCTTCCTCTTAGGTCAAAAAAAGACATATCTGCAGAAATTACACAGTACTTATAACTGAATGACAATACAAACACTATTTATCAATGTGTAGAAGATAGCTAAAGTGATATTTGGAATGAAAATTACAGCCTAGCACACTATCTCTCTCTTTCTCTAAATATATATAAATATATATTTAATAATATTAACATTAATGAGGTAAACACTCAAGTGGGGTAAAAAAAAATAGAAAAAAGAGTGAATCCAAAGATTTCAAATGGAAAGAAATAATAAATTAAAATCAGAAAGTATTGAAATACAAATCAGAATATCTACACAAACAAAAGTTTGTTATTTGACAGAAATAATAAAATCAGTAAACTTCCCTAAGACTGATCACGCAGAAAGAGAAAGCACAAATTAGTGGCATTAGAAAAGAAAAGGGGCTCAGCCGGCGCTGCAGCTCAATGGGCTAATCTTCCACCTAGCGGTGCCAGCACACCGGGTTCTAGTCCCGGTTGGGACGCCGGATTCTGTCCCAGTTGCCCCTCTACCAGGCCAGCTCTCTGCTGTGGCCCAGGAGTGCAGTGGAGGATGGCCCAAGTGCTTGGGCCCTGCACCCCATGGGAGACCAGGAGAAGCACCTGGCTCCTGCCATCGGATCAGCGCAGTGCGCCGGCGGCAGCGCGCCAGCTGTGGTGGCCATTGGAGGGTGAACCAACGGCAAAAGGAAGACCTTTCTCTCTGTCTCTCTCTCTCACTATCCACTCTGACTGTCAAAAAAAAAAAAAAATGGAAAAGAAAAGGGGAAATAACTGTATAGACAATAAACACTTTTTAAAAAATCAAGGCTGTTATTAGCAATTACTTTAAAAACAGAATGAAAAATTTCCTAGAAAACTATAAATACACAAAACTGACTGAAAATGGAGAAAACCTGAACAGATTTATAACTACCTTCAGTTAACCAGTCAGGTCCATTCAGTCATGAAAAATACTCCTCTCTTCACCATTACTCAAAGAAACAGAAGTTACAACAGCCCGGTGATGCTCCTTCAGCAGACCAGCAGTTGACAAAGATGTCAGCGTCTGATAGTACCAGTAGTGGTTGAGGATCTGGAGAAAGAATCACACCAGGCCCTGCAGATGGATGTGCAAACTAGGACAGCTGCTTTGCAGTAAAGATGAAGCTGTTCATACCCTACCAACTCGCAAGTCTCAGTCCACACCCAAGGGGAACCTTGGCCCGTATGCACTAAGCCTCACTCATTCGGCTACTCATTGGACACTAATCCTGACAAGTATTGCAGGGCCCTGTGTACCACATCATTGTAGCATTGTTTAGAAATAACTTTTATTGATGGTAATCTGGAAATACTGTTATCTATTCATAAGTGGAAAACTGTGTACAGCAGATGAAAATAATGGTATTGTTTGAAACGTAGGTATCTAGCTCTAAAACATGAAAATAAGTGAAAAGTTATATGAAGAAACCCAGATATGTTACCATTTGGATACATTTTGAGAACACACAAAGTAATAACACCAGTATCAGCACCACCTGGGAACTTAGAGGTGTAGAATCTCAGATCTGCTCCAGATCCAGTCAGTCAAACTCAGTGGGGTGTGGGCTCAGCAGTCTGTGCTGGTGGCATCTCCAGGTGGTTTGTATGCAGAGGACAGTTTGAGAAGCATGTACATACACACATGCACACACAGGAGGCTTGAATCATAGCTGTAAAACTTTCTAAAGTAAATATAGTAAAACATTAATATTGAGTGATATACACACAGCTGTTTCTTTATTTTTCTCTGTACATTGTATGTTTGAAAATCCAAGAATAGAAACTAAGAAAAAGAAACAATACTTGCATCTAGATAACTTGATTGAATATAACATTCTTATTTGATGTAATATTAATCACATTAACCATCAAGCCTACTGTTATTTCTACCCATTATCTTTAGGCGGGTCAGAGAGTTAAACAGCAGCAACACTAAAAAGTTTCTGGAAGAAAGAAAGAGAGTAAGTATTCTGTAATTTCCTTGACACTCTTCCTTGAAAAATTGTAAGTAATAATCATACTTAAATACCAGGCTTCTAGCTAATTTGCTTAATTTGATTTTTCTGTACATTAAGCATACCAGCTATTCTTTTCTGCCAGAGTAATCTTACCAAAATCTCTGAAGTAATTATTTGGCACCATTTTATACAGAAAATGAAGCCAAGTGTTAGTCCTGTACAAATGCTCTATTATTTTTCTAATATATTGCAGGAAAGATTTTCACAGTAAAGGCATTAGGGTTCAAATTGAGTTTTCAGACTATTTCTTTGTTTTTAAAAGTTATCTCCCTCACTTAAATTATAAACTTAAAAATTACTCCTCATCTATAAGTTTTAAGATTACAAACTAAAGTTTATCAACTTTTTGTTTTTTTACAGCTTGCAATGAAGCAATCCAAAGAAATGGATCAGTTGAAAAAAGTCCAACTTGAACACCTAGAATTCCTAGAGAAGCAGAATGAACAGGTATTTCACTTAAATACATAAAAAGATGTAGGCAGCAGCTTCAGGATGCAAATACCAAGGCTCCCAGTGACCCCTCTTCTGAAGCCAGTGGCCTGGGTAGTATGATGACTAGAGGAATTTGCTGCCTATTGTATTTGCTCCATTTCCTTCAAAAGGATTAGAAAGTAATTTTTTGGAGGAGCAGTAAAGGAATGTGGCTTGGAGGAAAAGAATAAATAGGCATTTGAACATAGAATTACATTACTAAAAGTAAGAGGATAAGAAAACAGGTTAAAAATTAATTTATCCATTTTTATTTAGAGTTTTATAATTTGAATCATACAAACAAGTAATATTATGTTTAACAGAGAAATCACCTATGTTCAGGTTCAATCTAAAATTAAAGTTAGGAAAACCTTCCTAGGCTTACATGTTAGAATCTAAAGTTGTGAGCCTCTGTAACTCTACAGAACACTCAACATGAGTGTACATGCCACTCTTGGTTTTGCCAGCAAAACAATAAATAAATACACACAAATCAAGAGTTTGCCAAACTCCTACTGTTAAGTTAGGCCATCAGGTATATACCAACACCGAGATAATTTTGTTTTTTAACCTGGAAGCTTGGACCTGGGAAACCCTATCTCAAGTGGGTTTCAGCCCCTCCTCCTCCTTCCACAGTGTCCCAGCCATTTTATGGAAGCACCTGTTTCTTGTATGGCAACTTTACCTTCAATTTAAACTTCAGTCTCTTTTGGTTCAAGTTGTGCTCTTAAGATGTAGTGGGTTTGGATATGGTGGATTATTGTTTCTAGATAATTTACTTCAATTTAGAAGCTATGGCGAGGTTTTGATGAATTACAGACTTGTACTACATTCTTTCTTCTTTCCTCTCATTTATAGAGCAGTCCTATTTAAGGTATATATATATTTTTTTCATATTAAATGTCTGCCACTGAAGAATATTTAAGTAGAAAATATACTAAAAAGTACCTTTAAGAAAGTAGAACAAAACAATAATATATTTTTCGGTATTGTCATAGGATAACAGATCCAACTTCTGATTTCAGCCTCTTTACTTTTTGATGGATAGAAGTTTTATTCATCAACATATTTCTGAGTTATGTTTCACATTTCCTCTTCAGCTAAATGCTTCTATTCATGAACAGTCAACCAATCCCCAAGGGGACAATACATGTCTATTGTCCCATAATGCCAATTCATTTGACCAACTCATAGATGCATCGCATTCTGGTGCAAGTTGCATAGCTTATATTTGTTCACGTAAAGCCCTTCTCAGAAAGTGTTCCTCATGGGGAAACATGGGAATGTGTATAAGGCTAAAGCTACCATGTCCAAAGCTTTACATGATTCAGATAGGTGCAGATAAGGATACCTTTGAAAAAAAAAAATCATACTCCTTAAGACAAGGGCATAATGAAAGGTAAGGCACAGTTATGTTTTAACTAACTAAATTAGGAAACTACTCGGAAATTATTGCGTTGCTTGGCAACAAGTTTGACTAAAGAATGTAAATGTGCTAAAAATTACTCCTCGTTACAATAGTGATGTAGATCAGAGCTAGGGAATAAAGTTATCTAATGTTTCTCATTTCAAAGCTAAAGTACATAATAAAAACTCACTTTAAGCTTTTATCCTAATACATGGGTCATTTAAACCACATCAGAGTTCTTGCATTAAAATACTGGATTAGTGAAAGCTGTATTGATTGGGAAGATGCTAGCTTTTTGTTCCAAAATTTACATAACGCCTCTTAATATGTCATCAATGATAAGTACCACCCACAAATGATACTTTGAGTCACAAAAGCTTAGGAAAACCCAGAACATGAAAAGACTTGAGACTTGATGGAGGCTTAATGAGATTCAAGAAAAAGAAATTCAAGGTATCATAATGATGCTTCTGGCAAATGTTGAATAATTCAGACTTGAATTTCTGTATTCAGCTTTGCTTTACAAGTATGACCCATTAAATAGCAAATTCAGTGCCAGACCTTTTATATATATTTGGAATTTAAAAATCAGAAAACTGTCAATTTAGTTGTTCTGTATGCAATAACACCATCAGAGGCACAATGTGAAACATAAAATAACTGTGTTTCTTTCTTCATAAAAGGCAAGGTCTAGAACTATGCAGTAGAGCTCCCCTCATAACCAATTAAATATTTAATTAGCAAAAATTGGAGGGGGAACCCAGTTGCCTGTCTCCAGACAATTCCAAACAATCTCCCAAACCATTATTCAACTCCAAGACTTTTCTCCCCCTCTTTTTAAGCCAGTGTTGAGGGCATTGGCCAAAATGACTCATGCGTTAATACTACATTTTGTTGTTCTTGTTCTGGGTTCTAACGGCATATGTCCTTTGTAAGCCACTTCACAGTGTTGCCTGCTCGGTCAGCCAATTATTCATTAAAGCTCTAACAGTTGAGGTTTTTCTTCCTATTTGAGAGTTGTCCTGTAGGCCCCCCAGCCACACAGCATCTCATCCGTCTTGACGTGTACCATTTCAAACATTAGTGAATCCATTACTGTCACGTTCAAGTCTCAAAAATTTATTTTTGTCATCAATCCTATCATTTAATGAAGACAGGTGAAAGGTTTTGCTAAAGATTAGGCATTCTATGCACTGCTGCCAGGAGAGGAGCAATCTGGGCTAGTAGGCATCGGTTGTTTTTGTTCTTTTTTTTTTTCCTCTTTCTCTGTTGAGATCAACTCGGGGGAAGGTTTGTCACTGATGGGTGTGTACATGTTTTATTCTTAGCTTTTTGCTTTTCTGTATATAGTTTTGCATTCATTTCGCAAATTCACTTCAATATTCATTTATTTTCTTTGTTTTGTATGTATGACTCAATTTGACATGACTATTTTTGTACAAACAGCTTTTGAAATCCTGTCATGCAGTGTCCCAAACACAAGGTAGGACTCAAACTCTGATCAGCAAGACATTGCTTTCCTTCCTGGTGCAGTCTCCATTTATGAATCACTATGGTCATAACTAATTAATATTTTAAGGGTTTGGGATTTGAAAACTTGACTATTTCATGCTTGGATTTCTGATGTAATATTTAACCTGAAACGCCCAAACTTTTGGAGAATTCTGATGGCTCTGTGGCTGCATTTCCGCTTGCAAATCTGTGAAACGGGTGACAGTAATGAAGATATGCCCAGGCATTAAGAATAGTGGTCTATAGCTGTTGTATGGCCACAGATAAGCCTGGGTCACAGAGTGAAATATTCCTCAGTATTAATAGGACTCCAGTGAATCTTTAAAGTATCCCAAAGTTTGTCAGTGATTTTTAATAACAGAGAGTTTATGGTCTGCCTGTAGACATGCTGTATCATGCAGAAATGGTATATTCTTATGCTCTCTGCCAAATCTGGTTTATCAGATCTCAACCCTAGCAACCCTTGTAAGTGAGGTGACCATGTAATTTATTATCTGAACCAAGATGGTTATGAGAGTTGAAGGAACACTGCTCACATGAGCCAGAACTTCAGGCATAAACCGGAATTGTCCCAGGCAGTTGGCAGTGGTCACCCTGCTCATAGAAGAATTTAGCTGTTGGAATAATCTTTTAATGTCTTAGAATTCTTCCTTCTGAACTGCATTCAATATTATCTTTAAATGCTAACGGGGAAGAAATATAGGAATATTTTATTACTACTTACTAAACATAGAAATATTTGATTTCTAGCACTGATAATGTTTCACTGTCATCTCTTATGAATACTGTTTGTGTCATAGTTTCATGTTTGTATATTTTTCTCCATTTCCTCATTTTTCTATTAGAGTAGTACTAAACTCCAGGCATAAGAAATATCTGGGTCAAGGGAACCATTCGTCAAATTTACGCATGAAGAAAATTCTTTGGTGTGTGATATCCATCCTGCCCAAAATGAAGTGTAAAACTAAAATATAAAACAGTAATTAGAAGAAAATCACCATATGGTTTGTGGGTTAAACTAATTTTGTCACAGGACTTCATTTGGGAGGTTTAGATATTTAAAGTATGAGCTACACAATTGACCAAACCAATGTAATATGCTCTCACTTGAACTTCTCCATCAATTAGATTCTTAGGTAATTACCTTTAGCTAAATTTCAGCCCATTTGGGGAATAATTTGTGCATAAACAACACTTTCTAAAAGTAATAAAATTATCTACACATAGTCAAAGTGATGTGACAATCCAGAAACTAAATCAAATCAAATCAAATCAGTTTGATGTGATATAGTGTAAACATCAAGTGAGTGGCTCAACCTATATTTCAAGTGGGTTTCCTGGCACTGTGTAGACCAGCCTTTCTTAAACTTTAATGTACATAAGCATTTCCTAGAGGTGTTTTTGAAATGCAGATTTGGATTCAGTTGGTCTGGGATAGGCTCCAAGATTCTACATTTCTAAGAAAGTCCCAGGCAATGTTGTTGCTGCTGGTCCGAGGTCAGTTTTTTGTGTAGCAAGGCAATAGTGACAACCTCAGATTTAGAGAAGAAAGACCAAGGTTGTGTAGTGCCTTCCAGAGAGGATTTCAACATGTAAGGCCGTGTTTCTGACGTTATAGGCGAAGGAGATGCAGCAGATGGTGAAATTGGAAGCCGAGATGGACCGCAGACCAGCAACAGTAGTGTGAAACTCCAGAATACAAACTGAAGCAGCAAAACCACAAAGCATCAAAAGATCACTCCCCAGACTTCTGAACACCAACTCCGTGGATGAACGCTGTTCTCTTTCATGTTTCCTTTATGTGTAGACAAGGTTGCCCAGAACCGGAGAGACTTGTATGACCTACGTACATATCTTTACCAGTTGGAGTGTTGAATTTCCTTGGCCAACCAAAAGTAGCTACAATTCCATAAAAAAATCTCCTATTCCAGTAAGGCAGAGTTTAACCATTGATGATACAACTTAAACATGTTTGCTACAAAATACCATCACAAGTAAATGAGCTTGGTGTTAACAACTCTGCTTTGTGATGCATTAGAACATGTTTGAGCTGCAGCAAATATAGTGCATTAGCAATTAAATAGCAAGTGCATGCACTCAGAAAAACAAACTCTGTCTATAAATTCATTAGCAGAAGTGGTGGTCTGCTAGACAAATACTTTTGCAGAATTTTTCTACATCTAAGTTACCTCATCAGTAAGTGCCATGTCTTTACCATGCCATAAGAGGCTAATTTCCTGTGAAAGTTGTGGAAATTATTAGAACAGTAGAAAAATAGAGCAGTGTACCTGTGCCAAAATTCACCAGTACTGAAAGGGGAATTCTGTTAGGCACATTTAAGAAAGTTTACATCTGACATTGCTTTATAGGAATTTCTTCTGCAGATTCCAGATACTACAATTCACTATTACACCAAAAAGGTTGTGAAGTGGTTATTGGCAAATGTTTGTAAATGTGACCATGTATAAAGTATTTATACTTCTTAATTCACACTGTTTTAGAGCAAAATCATTTAAGTATTGCCACATAACAAGGTTAGTAACCAGGAATAATAGAACTATGTTTGCATGATACACAAGCACCAATTAAGACTAATCCATACAGACACAGTTAACCTAATGCCAAATAAATACTGGTTAAATACATGTATGGCACAGAGTATAATTTGACTATCAAGACTTTTAGCATAATGAAAAAGTCTATATATATGTGTATATGAATTATGTGGGCATTCTTGATATTTCAAGTTCTAGTTTGAAAAAATACATAACTAATTTAATTTTACACAGAAATATTTATGCAGATTTTCAGAATTTCATATCAGGAAATAACCTTTTTATGTCTTAAATATCAAAACGATTTGCCACAGTGTTCACCTGCATGGCCCTTACGCCAGCTGTAGCTGTGTTGCAGACAGTGCATGAGAAAGCATTCCGCTGGGGAATGAGCCGTGCTCCAGAGTCCAGAGGAGCGCATGGCAACCTGGGAGTCTGCAGCTAATCAGATGACTGATTTCAGGACTCAGAACACCGACCAAACTGTTGTATATGCTTGTACAAATTGTGTGTTCCTCTGAACAAAGCAGACACATTTATGATACCATCAGTACTGAAGTTAAACTCCCACCTTCTCTAATAAAAAATTAAAACACATTTAACACTTGTCAGAGTATTTACTCCCATGATGCTTTCTAGTAAATGCTTTGCCTTTTGTACACTCCTGGAGTCTCTTGACCTGAGTTCATTTATTATTCTTTGAGACAGAGACAGGCAGGCAGATAGAGCTCCCATCCGCTGGTTCACTCCCTAAATGTCCACAACGGCCAGTGCTGTACCAGGCGGAAGCTGCGAGCTGGGAACTCAATCCAGATCTTCCACAGGGATGGCAAGGACCCAATTACTTGAGCTGCAACATGCTGCCTCCCAACGTGTGCATTATTGGGAAGCTGGAATTGGAACTGAAACTGAGTTCCAAACCCAGGTACTGTGATATGGGATCCCAGCATTTAACCAACCACTAAGCCATTCTTCATAAATGATATTTTCCTTGATTATCAAAGGGTGCTTATTCATGTCTTCACCAAATTTTCCCCCCAAATGACATAAAACATGCAGATTCTAGCTGACTTTCAAATGTAATGGACTTGCTTTTCTTTTTCTTGTATTTGTGATTTGAATTAGGTTCTGTAAGATTTCCTTTTAATTTTTTTTTAGTTTTTTTTTTTTTTATTTCTTTGAAAAGCAGAACTACAGAGAGGCAAGGCAGAGAGAGAGAGAGAGAGAGGTCTTCCATCTGCTGGTTCACTCCCCAAATGGCCGCAACGGCTGGAGCTGGGCTGATCCGAAGTCAGGAGCCAGGAGCTTCTTCCAGGTCTCCCACACAGGGCAAGGGCCCAAGAGCTTGGGCCATCTTCCACTTCATTCCCAGGCCATAGCAGAGAGATGGGCCAGAAGTGGAGCAGCCAGGATTGAACCAGCACCCACATGGGATGCCAGCACTGCAGGCAGCAGCTTTACCTGCTACGCAACAGCTCTGTAAGATTTCTTTGGTTCCTAGTGATCTGTAAAATATTAGAGTGAGACCATATTTCTTCCAGCATTACCATACCGTGAAAAAAATCATACTTAATCAAATATCACCATATTTGGATTGCCAATTTTAAGAGATTCTGAATGCGTTCTCTTTGTTATATCAGATGGCTTCTTCCAAGATCTCAACTAAGCTCAGTGTTTTGTAACAACCTGCTGCCATTTCTTATATATACTTTTGAGGGGTACCACAAGTTTTCCCACTTCTCTGATAATTTCTTCTCTGGTTTTTCATGCTCCTGAACCACCACAAATATTTGCATTTCCCAGTTTCTGTCCTGAACTAGCTTTTTCCCCTCTCAGATTATGTTCCATACCTGAGACATCTTGCCCTCTAAAGGACCCATTGTACTAGGACTGAAAGACACACAGCTCAAGTCTACAACTAAAAGATATGATTTCCTTACTTATACAAATTCACAATGTACTCAGACTCTGCATTCTCACTTGTGAAGAAAAAAATGCTTACAAATTAAACTCATTCAGTTTCTTCCAGTGTAGAAAAAAAAACCAGTGACATAATTACTTACATTAGAGTCCAGCCCCCTGTTACAAGTTCCTCCCCTTTGGCAGTCCTCTCTGCCTCTTTCCTCAGGTGGCATCTGAGTATTAGGTGATTATCCTGTGTCCCTGTGAGATTGGGAGAAGTATCTGGTTTCCCCATTGCCTTCTACTGCAGTCCTGTAAAGCAGATCCTTCCATCCCAGTCGTTCAAGGTCCCTGCTCAGCTGAGTCCGCATCCTGGGCCTGTCATTGTTTGCACTTCTGGAACTTTTTGGACTGTGGGGAAATCAGAGGTGCTGGCTCAATCCTATCCATCTAAAAAATTGCTTTCTTTACTTGTCAGGCTGTTCCTGCTGTGGAAGTTTTGAAATTCAGGAGGTGTGAAATTTTCTAGATTTTGCCCCAGGAAGGGCAGAACTAAACTAAAACTGTGGCTCTGATTGTCTGGGTGTCTCTAATATCCTGTTTCTCCTACTCTCAGGACTTCTTGTTCCAATTTAGGAATGAGAGCACTTGAATCTCAAGTATCACCTGTAAGCTTTTCTTTTAGCCCCAAAAGGACATTCGACTGCTCATATTTGAGAGATTACAATACCCGTGCAGTGTTACACTGTTCATTCCCTACTTTTCTTCTCCTTTTATTATTTTTTAATATTTCATTATTTATTTGAAAATTAGAGAAAGACATCTTCCATCTGCTAGTTTACACAAGAGCCAGCTACAAAAGCTGGATCTGAGCCAGCCTGCAGCCTGCAGCCAGGAGCCAGGAACTGCATCTGAGTCTCCTGTGTGGGTAACAGGGGCCCAAGTACTTGGGTCATCTTATACTGCTTTCCCATGAGCATTAGCTGGGGGCTGGGTCAGTAGCAAAGCTGCTGAGACTGGAAGCAGTGCTCTGATCAGGGATGCAGGCAGCTCAGGCTTAACCTACTGCACCACCAACACTGCCCCCACTCTTCCATTTTTGAGGTGATAAATTGCCCTGTGGAAGAAAAACCAAATTGCCAAGACATGGAAACATCTCAGGAATACCTTATTTCATCAGACCATGGACACCATTGGTTATAATGTGCACCATCATCTTCTACACCAAACAGAATGAAAACAGCCTGCCAGTTAAACTGTGACATCATCCACTGAATAAGACACATCTCAATGTTAGACATGTGAAAATGAAAAAAAAAAAAAAAAGTACACCTTGAGATCCATGAAATACATAGTATTTCAGAAATGTACAAGTTCCTCAAACTCCAAGTCCTGAAGAGAGGAGAAATTTTTTTAAAGATTGATTGATTTGAAAGACAGAGTGACAGAAACCAAGAGAAAGAAGAAAAGGAGGAAGAAGAGATACAGGGGTAGAGAGAGCGAGAGAGAGAGAGAGAGAGAGAGATCCTCTCCACTGGTTCATTCCCCAAATGGCTACAACAGCTGGATCTGGGCCAGCCTGAAGCCAGCAGCCTGGAACTCCATCTGGGTCTCTCACGTGGGCGGAAGGGGCCATCTTCCTCTGCCTTCCCAGGCGCGTTAGCAGGGGGATGAATCGGAAGCAGAGCAGCTGGAACTCAAACCAGTTCTCTGATATTGGATGCCGGCGTGCCAAACTGCAGGTTAACCTTCTGTGCCACCAACTCTGGCCCCCAGACGACAATATTTTAGACATAGGTCACAAGAGAATCATTTAATCAGAAAGTGAAAACTAAGGAACAGTTCCACAACTAGGTTTCAGATTTAGCAATGAGATTCTGGAAATCAATTCAAAGAGGCTAAGAAGTTTTTCATTACCTAAGAGAATCTGTTTTTCTGTATGTTTTCCCTTAGCTGTTCAGTGCAATCACGTGCCTTCAATTTCTACTACTCTGCATACGTTTCTCAGATCTCTAACTTTAACCTTGCCCTTTCTTTTCCTAAGCTCTGGCTCTTTCAGACTGATAGGAGTTAAATAAAAGGCCCAAGTGTACATTGTTTATAGTTCACTGAAGACCCTTCCTCCATATGTCCTTGCAATATACTTTGATGATCTGTATCACCGCTGTAAACCCAGGGAACATCTTCTGCTCCATCTCATTTTCCTCCACCCACAATCTGTTGATGAAACTTACGGATTCTACCCTGATAGCCTTGAAGGCTTCTCCTTTATAACTTCTTTCATTCCTTAACACACAGAATTTTAAGCCTGCTATTCAATTTCTTTACCTTTTAAATCACTTCTACACACAGATTAATCTCCCCAAATGACAGCTGTAATCATATCACCGTCTGCTCAGAATACAGAATTCCTACCCACTACCTAAGGAATCAAATTGAAATTACTGATAACAGCATTCAGTTTCTAGCCCCTACCTGCCTACTCATGTAGCAATCTGAATTTGTCACTATTCTCTAGTCACATACACATAGCACACATCTTTCATAGCCATATTACTTAATGATTTTCTGTTAATCCTTAAAAAGCATCCTCCAAAAATGCCTGCTTGTTCTCCCAAGCAGGAATTAACCTGTCTTTATTCCTTTATCCATTTACACTTAAAGGCCATTTAATCATAAGCTGTTTCCAGCTGTCCATTCTAATTTCTTCTCAAGCTTTGTTCATTTGTTTTTCAAAGAGTACAGAACCAATAACTATCAGATGACTATTTAAATTATTTTTATGAGGTAAAATAAAGGATCTGTAACTATGTGGCCTCTTGGGCAGGAAATTCTGTGAAAGCTTAAAGGTAAGGCTAAAATAACTTTTTTTTGAAATGTGTCTTCAATTTCAAAAAAAAGGTTTATTTTTACATCTTTTGAAATAGTACAAGTATCACAATGGCCAGCAGGCTCCTAACAGTGTGGACCCATCAACATTAAGAGTGAGAATGGAGAATGAAGAGGAAATGCCTGTTTTATTTCATTATTGAGGTTGTATAAGGATGCCTCATTCCAAACACCAATTAATCCTTTATCACTGCTTGTGTAAATCTAACAGAAGACCACACTTTTTTACTACTTTTCTTTGACCCCTGGTGTTTATCAGTATCCCAAGCACATGCTGTAATAATTGCATTTTTGCTGTCATAACAGATCTGGGGTGGTGCCTCTAGGATGGATCCTTATGAGCCATCTTCTTTAATAATATTTCCTTGAAAAGGGTTCTGCTCCATAGATTAGAATAATGAAAAAATATTAGTGGAGGGAACAGGGAGGGGGTTAAAATAGCAAAATTTTACTTTTACATTTAAAAAATAGATGTCTGTGTTTATCTTGATAGATGATGCCATGCCTCTTCCAGTCCTCTTCTCTTCTAGCATCACTTTCGTAGAATTTTGGGGAGAGGAGTGGTCCCTGAGATGCTTAATCCTGGAAATTTTTGAGTCTCCACCTTGAAAAAATTTAGAAAGTTTTTCTAGCAGGGCAATTTAGTATTATATACCAATTAATTCACACCATGACCCCATGGCCTTAAGTGAACCAGAATGTGCCATAAACAACAGAAAAGGGAAGAATTTGACCATTGGTAGCCCCTAAGCCTTAATAGATAATGTGAATAAAGAAATGTTATTCACCAAAATTGAGTACCAATG